ATCTGAGTGGATTATGTACGGATGGGGATTTTTGACTTGTTTGTGTAGTGGGGTGGGGTGTTATCTCGAGGGTTGTGTTTGGTTTTGGTTGGTGTGTGGAGTGAGGGTTTGAAGGGGAAGGTTGTGGTTGGAATTTGGTGCCGCGTGTTGAGGGGTGTGTTTAGGGGGGGGGGGTGAATTTGAGGAAGCCGGGGGTGGGGGGGAGGGAGGGTGGCGTAGGTGAACAAGGGGGTGTGACCAAGGGGGGGTGGAAAGGAAAAGGGGGGGCGCTCGGGGGGCCATGGGTCGCCTAGATGAGAGGGTTAGGGTGATGGAGGGGGGGGCGGGACGGCCGGTGCGGGAGGGGGGCCGGGGGGGGTCAAGGGTGGGAACGGGACGCCGAGGGGGGGCAGGCGGGTTGGGCACGGGAGGCTTGGCAGGGGGAAATAGGGGGGTGTGCGTTGGGGGTGTTCGTTTGTTTGTGTTAATTTGTTTTATGATTATATTTTTAATTAAGAAAAAAAAAATTGCCCCCCCCCCCCCCACCCTCCCAATCAATCCCCCCCCCCCTCCCATCCCACCCCCATTCATTCCAATTTATTAAAAATATAATTTATAATTTTAAATTTACAAAAAAAAAAAAAAAAAAAGAAAAAAAAAAAAAAAAAAAAAAAAAAAAAAAAAAAAAAAAAAAAAATAAAAAAATAAAAAAAAATAAAAAAAAAAAAAAAAAAAAAAAAAAAAAAAAAAAAAAAAAAAAAAAAAAAATAAATAAAAAATCGGAATTTATATTTCTTAAACTCCTTTATATAATTATTATAAATTTTATTTTAGAAAATAATTTGTTACATATATATTTATTAAACGGTTTTAATATGTCGATAAATAATTATTATATATTTTTTTAAAAAATATTTATTTTTTTTTAAATTAACAAATATTATTCTTCTAATTCTTAATTATTTAGTTTATAATAATAATATAATAGTGCAATTAATATTTTATATTTGATATAGTTAATGATACTTCCCGTTACAAGGCTAATGCTACGATGATATATTGATAATCAAAATTTTATATTTTCTGTTGTTTTTTTTTTTAATTTTTTCACGTTATCAAATTATTGTATTATTTAAATAAATGTACTGGAGAATATAAAAATGTTTATTCAAATATTTCTTTAATAAACCCCTCTGCTGATTCTATAAATCAAATTCATTTTTGTAATTTCATCAATATCATCAATTAAACATCTATATAACAACATTCAAACTAAAAATCAAATTACCCACATAAATAATAACAAATAAAACAATCCTAATCAATATAGTATAATTCTCAATTATACCTTTCTACATCCAAAAAATATATTATTTATATCTACTTATAAATTAATTCAATATATTATATTCTATAAATAATTTATATATATAGACATATTCATATATCGAATATATATATATATATATATATTCCCATGTTCCGTGCTATTACCCCCCCACCCCAACCCCCTAAACTCGCACCCCAAGCACCCACCCCCAGGACAAGCCAACCCGCAACCAACCATAAACCAACCCCAAACTAACCCTAAACCAACCCTAAATACACCCTAAACCAAACCCTAAACCGCACTAAACCAACCCTAAACTAACCCCAAATACACCCTAAACCAATCAACCCAACCACAGGACCACAACCACAGGGGGGGGGGTACTTGTCTCGCTGTACCATATATATATATATATACAAAATACATAATTATAATTCATTATCAAACAATATATATATAATAATAAGTTCATTATATATTTTTAATAAAAGCCCCAATACACCGTATCAACAGAATTGATTGCAAATTAATTCCAAGATCTTCATCATTTCCAGTTCGCAAATTTCTAATATCTCTGTAGCTATCGCTGCAGACTTCGCCTTCTTCCGGATTTAGGAGATCTCCCTGCCAAAGGATGTTGCAGTTTCTTGCTTCCATTCCTTTCTTTGCCCGGAATAGACAAGGCCAGAATATCAGTGGCAAGACAAACGGGACCGTGAATTTGCACTTCCTTGTAGCTTGTACAGTTTGAACGTAAGCCTCCAATCCTTGCCGATGTACAAACCTTGAGCACTTGCGAAAGCTCTCGATTGTCGTAAGCGTTCAATATGTGCCCGTAGTATTCGTTTGTGGCTAGAGTAGCTGTAGCCACAAAAGCGCCAGTGTCTTGGTTGTAGAAAGTAGATCTGTGACGGACATGGGGTTGGAGAATCAAGACGAGCTCGCCATAAATTTGTCGTGCGGTGTTGACCCCTTGGATGTCACCAGCATAGTTTAGGGCGCCATACTTTGGTTTGCAAAAAGCTGGGCAATGAGCTCGACCGTAGCAGTTCCCAAACATGTTCGCCTCCCATTTCGCGCGCGCCCTCTTGGCTGTGCTCCCACAAGAAGTATTCGTCTCAAAGAGGTTCCGATAGTGAGTGTCTTTGACAAGCAGGAACAGTGTGTGTTTCTGCCATATGAATAACTATAGGGGCATCATCTCGGATGTAGTCCAGGCATTGTTGGAGCACTTCTGGCGAGAATCCTTGCGATTTGGCGCGGCCCTGCAATTGCTGTAAAGATGCCTCGTGCATGAATGTCGCCTTGTTTTTCACATAATTCACAGCATGGAGCTGAGCGGGCGTAAGAATACCCAATGCTTCTTCCTTAGTGAAATGTTGTTGTCTCTTCCGACCACGTTCATCTTCTTCTTGTTGGAAAACTTGGGCGATGCTTTGATCTCCTTCCTGCAACCTTCGTCTCTGCTTGTGTCTCCGCTCAGACTGTCTCTCTTCGTCTGCATGCAGTTTCAAAGCCATGGCTCTGTCCGCCTCTTCTTGCTGGCGTCCTCTCAATGAAGTGCTTCGAGTATCCATGGCAAATGACATCTCGCGATCAAACCGTACAACTGCAATTTCGTCGTGAGCCTCGTCCTTGTCATTGCCATGTTCTCCTGCTTGTAGCTGTTGAATGAGTTTCCACGACGCATCATCAATATCTGGTGGTCTCTTTCGCTTGCTCGCCAAACGGCAGACGCCAACCTCATCCCCACAGTCGTCAATTACCACCACTTCCGCCATGGCTGCATCTTCAAAAGGGTACAAGTACCAGGAACAACTCTCCTAAAACAAATACAATAAAAAACGTGTTTGAGATCTTCGGCCAACCACAGCTTTGTGCATCTGTTTCCTTTGAACACCGAAATTAGATATATTTGCGGACCTGTTGGGGTCGGCAAATACTTTCGAAGAAGCGAGCAAACAAGGCTCGCCAGATCACACTCTTCACCACCAATCCAGCACAGGTGTCCTTTTTGGCAAATAGATGGGTTTCCCTGGTAGATGATTGCTTCTCAGCCAACCCACCAAAACGGACACCTGTGCTTTGCGGGTGTCCCATCCTTCCTGGTTGATCAGATCTGAATCCATACCGGCGTGCCCAACCACTGCCAACCACGCAGAAAAATAATGTTGACCCCATAGTAATCCACCAATAATACGGTGGATGGACAAAATCCATTTGAGCTGATAGGCTGAACATGATTCAGGATGGCCCAGCAATTCTCAAATACAACTTCATGTCGCTGATGCAATGTATCTCCGACCCAGTGAATTGGCTTGAGAAGGGCGGACACCGATGCAATATCAACGTATTGCTGACACACTCTCAGCAAGCGTGTTTAAGATAGCACTACCAGTTGAACTTTTGGAGGATGTCCCGATCCATTCCGCAGAATGGATTTCAGGAGGCTGCAAGGCGGAAACCGCCGAAAAAGAAATGGATGAAACAACAATGCAGAAGACAATTTGGAGAACAAATTATGAAAATTTGAAGGGGCTGGCAACTTTGCACCATTAAACATGATTGAGACTGCAGAAGAAGAACTAGTTTCTAGCAAACAGGGTCATCTACCAAGCTATTTTCGAATATCACACAAGCGATGGACAGGGTATCTATGCCATAGCCGTTGCAAACGGCAAGAGTAACAGCTCCCTACACACAGCTTTGAATAGCTTTGCAAACTTGTTTGAGTTCAGCCTGATTGTCAAATGCTCTTCAACAATTGTATACTGGAGAAATCGGAAGGGCAACTGGACGAAGCAGGTAAGTACTAGCCCAAGGTCTCTTCGAAGGGGACTAGGCTGGCAATTTCCCACATTGGTTCTGTCGCATGGCTCTTGCCCAGTGCCTCTGGAGTTGTATGGTTCGTACAGCATGTCCCACTCTTGTGAGTTGAACAAATCAAGAACGTGCACATGGCCAATAGGCGGAAATTGTTGATTGTGGCTGGTAAGGTTCTTTGGGAAAAGAGCGGAAACTCGGGGAGAGTACTCTGACAATTGCAAAGGCTATGCAAACATGTTGCTCTCTGTCTTTTTGAAACCCCATTTAACACGTGCTGACTGGGCAAAAGCGGAAGACGAGGGTGACAGCTTGTCTCAACTTCCCGCAAGACGTTAGTTCCAATCATTTTGCAGACCCGGGGAGTGCCCAACTTGAGAAACATGCTGCCCACAGGGTCCATGTTGGGACTTAGCAGGGCGGAACCGGTAAAATTAGAGGGCCCTCCCCCCCCCCCCGAAATATTATATTATATATATTAGCATGTTATACAAATGTTTTCAAACAGAAAGCCACAAATGTATCTCAACCTTTCACCAGAAGCTGCTAGGGCACAATTTCAAACCGATACCCCAATCGCATGATTGTTCACCTGAAACTTTGTTTCCGGAAAAGCAAAACAGCAGATCGCTAACCCGAAACTCGTGACTGAAGCTCAGCGAAGGATCGGACATCAACAAATAGGCCTTGGTTTGGTTTAGGAGGAAGAAAACCTGTTTTGGGTGTCTGTGGTCAGGCAAGAAACACAGATGACAAATAAGAGCATTCCCATTGATATTCTCTTTTAACCCTCGAACAAGAAATGTGCAAGACAAATTGCAGGATGAAATTTAAGCAGAAGCACATGAGTCATCTGGGCGCCTTTCGCTTTTGTTCTATTCCACGCTTGGATGCAAAGCCTTCAGCGATGGATGGTCGGAGTTGATGTATCTCAATAGTAAAATCATCACCTCCAGCCAGCCAGCAAGCCAGCCATCATCTCAAGCCACTGGTATCTTTTTAAAGGTGCTACCCCTTCAGCCCCGTCTCGCAGAATTAAGGCTAACCCAGATTCATCAACACACTGCACTGCAAATTCCTTGGACTAGAGGCTGAGAAGGCTTTCTTGGGACATGCTTGCTGGGAACTGGGTGGGGTTCAAGGGTCCAACATTGGTTGCACCCTCTCAATCAACCAGGGGTTTCCTGTTGATGAAGTGGGTTCGCATGAGTTTGACACCAACTTGTTGGGGTCCCTTCGATGCCGTTGGCCTGATAAAATACCGTGAGTGTGTCTTAAATAGGGGATCAACAAAATGGCCAGTTACTGTAGCCAACTGGTCTCCAATTCTGTGAAGAAGGATCAGGGGAACCGCCCCCACAAACATATGTCTGGGTGGTTCCTCCTACACGTAGGGGGATCCCTAACCCAATCCGTAGTGGTGCACCCCTATACCTGGGAAAGCTATTGCAATCTGGCATGATACTGTGGATGGACGAAATCCTGCACCACCTAAGACACCATGAAATGATAAGCCCCCAAACACCAACAAACACTGGTTTCCCATGGCTTCAAAGTGGTGAAGGGAGATTGTCCATCCACAATAGGATTTAGGATTGGATTTGAACAATCCCAGCTTCACAGTTCAATCTTTAGCGCCCCGCTTTGGCTAATCCGTTTTGACTCGAAGGGTTCTCAATCCCATTTCCCCTGGTGGGGATGAAGCAAGACCACAGAATTGCCGTGCCAATATGTTCCCTATTTGTGTGATCCGGAAGGAAAACGAACAGGAAACCACTCACCTGAAGCCCGGCCCTCCAGAGGCCATCGGCAAAACCTTTTCTTGCAGTTGCTTTTCAAGGGAAGCCCGCCGACAGAATTGCCCATGTGAAGGGCAACAAAACCACTTCCACATGCTGCGTTGGTATCACAGCAAACAAAAGCCAACCCCGCCTTCCAACCCTGCCCAAAAGGAAGGAACACAAGGCAAGAACTTAAGATCAGAACTTGGCCAGACTTAGACCCCAGTGCAAATGAACTTTCTTGCCGCTGAATGGGAAACATGTTGGACCAAGGGCAAAGCTCCAAAAAATGCGACTTCCTGTAAAAACATAACCGTCCCACGGGGTAGCCTCCTTCTCTGGCAGATCCGAGGGCACAGGCGCACGGCCCGAGAGCCATGGGAAAATCTCGTAGTCCTGGCGTTTGTACGTCAAGGTTGCGCCATTCCCTTCTGAGCACCAGCAAGTTACAGATGGAGGTATTACATTTTAACTTTGCGGTTCTACTAAAGTCCCCCATTAAAACAGGTATAGTGGCGCAAGCTACTCTGATTGACAAGGGGCCTTTTTGGGCGCCTGTTGGACCAGCCAAGGACACGATACACTCTCAAAAAGACACGTCCAATTACCCTCTCCTGAAAGGGCCCTCTGTATCAAACGTGGTCTGTTGCTTGGAGTCTCGGTACCCTGTTCAGGTTGGCTTCAAGGTCCACCGTGCTTCAAGGCACATGTGACAACTTGTGCTCTTAAAAGCAAACTCGGAACCCGAAACGGGTTTCTTTGGACAACTTTTGTGCAGGCAACATCCTTTAGGTCCCATGTTTGTTTTGTTGTTGGGAGGTGCTTAAAGGGGGGGCAAGTGGCTCATAACCATGGTTCTAACCCACTTCCCACGACTCCAAGCCGCCTGAAGTTGGCAGTGTACACAGCCTCCTAGCATGACGACTGGTTCCTCCTCTTCGGCGTTGGACAATCCGTGTTCTTATCCGCTTCCCATCTTGACACATGTTTTGAGCCGTTTTCGTTCCAAAGCAGAACTCCAGCAAAATCCAGGCTCCTAGGGTCACACAACCTAGCGACGAATCCACGCACCTCAAGTGTCCCTCAGTGGAACTCCACCCAACATCCCGCCCCACAAGGACAGCTGGACCGCTTGTGGGACATTCAGTGAGTTTTCCCGTCCCCAGCACCTACGGCTGACTGCCTTCTGAAATAGTCATTGTACATCATCCAAAGGGATCCTTTCAAATGTGGACGCGTGCTGGCCCACAAACATGGCCACTGCGTGTTTTGGGCGCTGCTCATATTGAGTACTTTGTTTTCCATAGGAAATACTTAGGGGAGGCGAACGAAAGCTAGCAGAATCTCTTTGCACTGCGCAGCGAAAAGGCATGGAAACACGATCTAAAAGAGTTGTCCAACAAGCTGGTTTTCACGCGGTTCCGAACCTATTCTCTGGACACCCGGTTGACAGAAAGACTGCAGCGAAATGCTTGTGTTCTTGAGGTTCGGGACTAGGGAAAGACTTGACAATGAAGGGTAAAAGGGTAATTCTGGGTTCATCGAATCAACCCACTGCTCTTCACGCTCTTCCACAAACATTCTTTGGACACCTTATTGAAAGAAGGGCTGTAGCAATCAAACTGGGTTAGAGATTAGCGAAAAGCTTGACAGCGCAGAGGAGTCCTGTGTTCACAGAATCTTCTAGTTATAAAGGTGTCCAACAAGCAGCGATAGAAGCCCTTCCGAAAAGAATGTCTGGACACAACGAAAATGCATGCAAAGCTGATCGCCCGGCAACAGCGCGTTCCAGCTTGCATACTCGTACGGCCTATAATCATCCATACTGTGGACACCAGGGACTTCCATAATACATCCGTCCAACATTGGCAGATTGGATTCTCCTGGGCAAAGATCCAGGGAGCACAAAGTACTACAAGTGGCGCCTGTTCCTCCGGAAAAACATATTAGCGGATCAGGTTTTTCGAAGAGAGCTTCCAAGATGTCATCCGACGGAGAAGGGGCCACCAAGCAGCCGCCATCGCACGACGGAAAAGTCAGCTGGGTCAGGTAGGAAGCATCCAAGAGAGGACATCTCCTCAAAAGCACTCCTCAACGAAAGGCATCAAGACCCTGATGAAGGAGTGAACTACTTCAAGAACACGCTGAAGAACTACTTCCTGAAGGAAACCACCAGGCTTTTCAGTTTCTTCAATCACAGAAGACAGAACACCAACTTCCTCATATTCACATCCAAACTAGAATTCCTCCTCAGGAGGGGCAGCCTGGACTACCTGATGCCAGTTTATACGGCACAGTCACGTACAAGAAATGCAAGAACCATTGCCCGACATCAGCAAGCAACCAATGTCAAGGCACTGCCTCCAACATTGCTTATGCGGCGCAGCAGAGAATCGAGCTCGCGACAGCGCCTGATGTATCAATCTTTCCTTTTTTGCCCCCGCCCCCCCTTAATCCAGCGTGTTACGGTTTGGGGGGGGCATGATATATCGAACCTTTTGGATTTCCAGTGATAAATCAGACCCTTTTCTGATCGACGGAGATTTTGACAGCAGAGCTGAGGTAAACGAGACTCCAGCTTAACTCCAAGGAGCTAGCTTTCGTGACTTACTGTTGGGGCCCCCTGTTGATCAGGGAGGCGTATTGGGCCAACATTTGTTGTGGGGTATGGCCACTATGTAAACACACACAAAAACACAAGCAAAATACCAAACAAACACACTCATGATTGCAACGTCCTTCCGCAGCAGCAGGCGGTCCAACTGCTGCAGCTCCTGCATGCTCAGGCTCGGCAGGTGCCGCCTGAGCGAGTCCCGAAATGGGACAGGAGCAATACACAACCATGGCTCTGGGTATGAATTTTGATTGGGGCCTGTCAAGTGATCATTTTGGATTGCAAACACAAACAATGTAGGGACGATTGGCTTTGCTCAGGCTTCGTTGTCCAATTACCCACCTAGAGCCTCAATGAGCCTTCAAACATGTGGTAGTGCATAGTTGTGGGAAATTTGCTAGGCACACGTTCTGTGATACAACAGCAACTTCCCTTTAAGGGGCTGGCTTCGATATTGCAACAAGGGTTCATGCTTTAACTGACGTTCCGTATCAGCGGGGAACTGGAATGAGTGAAGTGACCTACCGGGCAACGGCACCAGGCCCCAGCCCCGCAAAAGGCTCTCAGAACCCTTCTCAGAAGGGGGCGCCAGCAGGTGCTAATGGTTCTCCTTCTTCATTTAGTTATATTGAAGTATTGATCTATCTATCGATCCATCCATCTATCTCCATCCATCCATCTATCCATCTGTCTATCTATCTATCTATCTATTTGTTTGTCTATCTATCTATCTATCCATCTATACCTATCTATCGATCTATCTGTGTGTCTAACAAGAAGTTACTATATTGTATGTATATTGAACGGCCCCACCACTTGTTGGCGCGCAAGAGTCATCATCCGCCTGCTTCGGGGAATGCAGAGCCACAACTGAGTCACTAGGGTTAGGGATCAACCAAGTGGTGGTTGGGTTTGGGCCTGACGGTTGTTCGCTGATCCCGAAGTAAGCTGGCCTGAGCTTGCCTGGGCTTCCGGGTGAGGCTACGGGCTGCACGCCATTGTTCGGGGTATCCTTCAAAGCTAGGGAGCGCCGAGATTGGTGGCTTGTTCTTTTGGGATGCACGTTTTGAGGTTGGCTCACAGGGAAGCCAACAAACAATACCAATTTTGCGTGCTGGCCTTCCGAAGGACTCATTCTTCACTTACAGCGCCCGTTTTCCCAAAAGTCCAAAAGCAAAAGGCCGTCCCTCTCACCAACAAGCCTGGTGCACAGGCCGCCTTCCCACATGAATCTTCCCAGAGCCTGTGCACCAACCCATGCTGGTTGGGCAAACAAGTCGCAAGCAAACCCCTTAGGCACGTGACTTGCAACCCCCCTTGTTCAGGAGCCCTGTCCAAGCAGCAAGTGGCAGCTGGAGGTAGAAATCCGCTCATTTTACTCGGCTGAGGCACTCCACAAAGCCGCCCAGCAAGTAATTCATCTCCATCCACTCGCGCGTCCTGGACACCATAGGCTTGGTTTCATGTCTTGGGGTGGGCTTGGAGCCTGTTTCACACGGATTCCTTCGACCAGTTCGGTGTTCGGGGGGTCGATCTGCCTGTGCCGAACTTCTCACTACAAAAGGGGCCGCTCTGACCTAGTGACAGCGCGCAGAAGCAGCTTGGGCCAAGCATCCTGGCCTCGATTTCCACAGCAAGTGGCGCCGGGTTTCGTCCAGCACTGAAAGTCTGCAGGCAGTTGGTGGTAGTTGGATGCTACCTGAGCGGGGTCCCAACCCGCTGACTTCTGGTTCCACCAAAAAAACAAGTGGCTATAAAGTTGTTTGTTCTTTCTCTCTCGCGCTATCTCTCTCGCTCGCTCGCTCTCTCACTCTCTCCCTCGCTCTCCCCCTCGCCGCGCTATCTCCTGGTCCACACAAGGTTTGCAGTCCGTACGCTAGCCCCTACCAAACCAGGTGGGCCCATGACTAAGATGGGCTTTTGGTGGTCTTGGTGGTCGGGTGCCGCCCTCTCACTTTTTACGCGGAGTTTTGGAAGGGGGTTGACGCGCCCGGCCTGACCAGCGGAAAGCTTCAGAGCATCTAGGGCCTGGCCAATGGTTCCAACTCAAACATCTGCTGGGTTGTGGGCGCAAACCGGAAAAATGATGTCTCTTTGCTTTCCTTTTTTGAGGAGGGAGGGGGGGGTACCTGCAAGGTTCCCGCGCCTCCCTAAACAGGAATGGTTGTTTCATTTCTGGTGGTGAGGTCGGCTACCCCAAACGCATTCTCGCTAAATCACCCAGGCTGTGGCCCTGCGGCCAGAACTGCTCCAAGAACCGCCAGCGACCTGCCTCGCATTTTCCGCCGCGCAACCGAAAACATGTGAGGCTGCGCGAAGCCAAAGGACACGGAAAAACGAGGGGATGCGGGATCGGGACCTTTTCATGCTTGTTCAAGCTGCCTGTGGGCATCGGAGTTGGGAAGCTATGGCCCTTGGCAGTACCAAACCTTTACAATCACAGCTAAATTTGAGCCATACAGCTGCCAGACATGCCAGACTCAGCAAGAGGCTGGCCTTCAAGTGCCCACTTTGTCACTTTTTGGTCTGGCGCATTCGGAACGTCTCTGGAAAGCATTGGAAACAGCCCCAGAAAGGAGCGGCTTTCTACAAGGCCTCAGCCATCCTCAGCCTTTGCTCCGGAGATGACACCACAGCTGCCAGCGGAGCGCGCGGCGGCTGCAAAGCTAAAGCTCCGCGCGTGCCTCATTTGCCAGGAGCCGTTCAATTATGCACATTGACCAGCTACAGGAAACATAGCATAGCAAGCCCATCAGGCAGTCATGATGTGACTGACAAGGCAATCCGCCATTCTTTTGTCTTTCCAATCAGCTCAAGAGATTTTGCTCCAGAATCGGTTCCACTCTACCCAAAGCTAGACCAGGTCCTCCAGTAGAGTGGTTAGAAGGGTACCCTTTCCTTGGTGTCAAACCGCACGAGGTGCCCCCCGGGCCAAAGCTTCTTGCCGTCTGCGCTCCAGCAGTTTGTCTTGCCTGGCCTTCGCCTGAGTTTTCGCTCGCGACACAAGGGCAGATTGTTGTCCGCGGTTTTGAGATGAATTTCTACTTGACCCATTTGAGAGACCCCCATTGCAGGTTCCAGGTTCGTCTGAATTGCAGGCTGGCATGTTTCAGTCACTTCCTCATCAATCTGGATCACATCTAAGAATTGACGGCCGACCCAACATATGGCCTTTCGGGTCCCTGGTTTGCTGCCTGTCCACCAGACTTTTTCGGAAAAGGATAGAAATCACACAGCCCCGACAAAATTCAACGAATCAATCAATGAATCAATCAATAATTCAATCAATCATTGCGCATGATTTCCGCAACTTCAAAGTACTCCTCGAGCCCAGCGCATACACATGAACTACTGGTCTCAGTTATATAGGCCATCAAAGCCACCCCCTCCACCCCTTGGTGAGTAAAATGCAAAGTCTGCGTGCCTCCCGGCGGTCAGAATGTGGATCCCCAAAGGGCTGGAAGTCGAAGCGGTCCTCGGAAGCGTGGAAGGGGTTCCCCTTCCAAGGCACAATGGGAATACACATGCAATTCCACTGGTCACTTAGCCCCCCTCCCCCAATTCTGTGCGTAAGGGGGTGGACAATCCATGCGCAAGCTGGTTACAGCACTGGCTGGACAAACTCCGCAAGTGAGGCGCCGGGAAATACTTCTTCTCCACCTCCTCTTTGTGAGTTTCTCCTTCAGATCCATCCTGTTGCCTCTTTCGAGGAAAGTCCGAACCTCGGCGCCCGTCTTTGAAGCCCGCTGGACGGTACCCTGGATGGAGTACGTGTTGCCAATGAAAGTTAGGCTTCTTTGGTCAACCAGTGTTGATTTGGTCGCAATCAGGATTCCTCTCGTCAAAAGAACGCGCCTGCTCAACCTGTGCAGTGGAACATAACGCTTTCACTTGAGAGCCCCGGGCCATCCTGCCCATGGCAGGTCAGAAGCCAACGTACGGCCCTGCGCTGCCACTCAAGAAGTCATGCGCATCCGCATCCAGAGCCCCAGCTTCTCATCGAAATACAAAAACTGATCATTGTCCAAGAACTCTCTCTCTCTCTCGCCATTACTAACCTGAGTTCAAAACAGGAGATCTCTAATTCTAATCCCTTGCCCCTTTTAATACATTGACCCTATTAATAAGTACTATTCTTTCCAGACTGGCTGAAACAGCCAAGTCCCCAATAATACTAGTCTTAGAATAGCCCAATTCAAAACCAATACTGAACTGTCCCATGTCTCCGCCCAGGCCAGCCCAAGCCATATTAGGGGGCTCCTTGCACCAACCCAATACCAAATTCGAAATGCGTACTTAGTTTACATTGATTTCGTGAATTTCAATTCTAAATTTAAACTGCTCCCTTTACTTTTGAGCCGCAAAAACGAAAAAGCAACCTTGAACGGTTTTATCTAAATTCGGTACTCGGAAAATTGCGGTTTTGAGGCTCTTCGTGTCTGCCTATTTGGACGAGGACCGAAGGAAACCCGGTCGACCCCACATAGGGGGGGGGGAGGGTCCCCATTGATTAAAAGGGGAAGGGAGTTTATACTGCTATCCCGCAACACGCAAAAGGAAGCCACTGCAAGGAAAACCACCACCACCACCACCACCTGGCATAAGGATCAAGGATTGAAAGGTGGCCAAAAGCTTGAACCTGTTGCACTGTTTGAGCCATTGGAGCACCACAAAATGCTCAGAGAAAGTTGTTCAAGCGAGCGGCCTTCGTCGAAGGCGCGCCGCTTCGATGGATCCAACAGCACCTGGTGAGCATCGGCAACTCGCTGGAAGGCCAAGGCGGAACCTGTCACGGAGCGGGCTGCCTGCAAGCTGCAAGCCCTGCTGGTCTCGGGGGATGCTGGTTTGGTATGGGGTTGCAATTAAAATCCTTTCGCATTGGGTCAGCCGAGTTTTGGCATGCCATGGTCAAAGCTGGCGAATTGTGTGCATGGTCATGGCTCCCGTGGCAGGAACCCTTGCAATGCTTGTCGAACATTGTCGAACTCCTTATCAAGGGTGTCCATCCCCATCTCTGCCAACCCCAAGTAAATAGGTCTTTTGACATCGGCCCATATTAACATGTGAGATCTGCTCAAAACCGATGCCCTCAGAACAACAAGCCCTAAGACAACACTAGAAGCCACTAAGCCTCGCACACAGCATGGTCAAATTGGCAAATCGGTGGCAAGCATGCGCCCAACCCGCCTCCCGGCTTGTCTGGATGGTATTGCAAGCTCCGGCGCTTGTAGGCCCGCTTCAGCTCCTCGCTTTCTTCGGTGGCCGCGAAATCGCAGCGGAGACCCAGGACGCGGTAGTGGTCCGAGTGGCACCACTCCGGCACATGGCCTCCTGTCGATGCGGCTGTGATGATCCAACTTCAGGCAGGACATGCCGTACGTGGGCCTCCATGATCCCCATCTTGACTAAGTATCTGGCATTCACCGCGGGAAACATGGGAATTCCATCAAAAAGGCGTCCCACGTTTCTTCCCCCGAACCGATCGACACTCCCTGCACATTCACCCGGCCTCGCAAGAGCGAGCAGGGCGTTGCTTCCGCCACTTTGGCCACCTGTGCGGTTTGCGCCTCACCTCGTTGAACCACGCCCCCATCGATTGAACAGCCTCTTGATTATCTTTTTTCGGGCTGGGCTGTTTAGGGCCGAAGCCGATGTCACAATTCCCTTGAGGCACTTGTGCCATCTAGTTTCATCTGTAAGCAAACTTTGCAGCCCTCTTTTGCTTCTCCTTTTTCAGTTTTGAAGGTCCTTTTTTTGCCTGGATCTTAAAACCAAGGTGGCAACCAACAGCCTGACCTCGGCTGCTAGTCGCGCTTCCTCCTCTGAGAGTTTCGGGCGCTGCCCGGACTCGGCCTGAAGCGGAAGGCGAATCAAGGACAGGTGCCTGTTTGTTTTGTTTGTGTTTCCTTCTCTTTTTTTTCCACCTGTCTTTTTTTTAAATAACCCTCAAGTTCAAAACCTCTCTTCAGACAGATGCCGGAAAGGTTCTGCACCAGGGTGCCTGACAAGGATGACTACACCAACTGGGCGGATTGTGCTACATAGGAAAGAATGCTTGAGCAGCTTTCCAGCAAGGTAGGCAGCGGTAGCAGGGGGTAGGGGGGAGTCCCAACATCTCCCCTGATCTTCGGTCTGTTGGCTCTTGGACGCCTGCTGCCGCTCCGCGCACTTCTGCGCGCAGGTGAAGGGCACATGGTCCTGAGAGGCAAGCTGAGTCACTCCACCCGGCGAACCTCAACAGTCAACCAGAAAATGCGGGTAAGGGTTTACAGGTGGGTTGACTGGAGATGGCTGGGATTGCAAACCGCTTGGCTGACTGATAGGCCACCTGCTATACTAAGTTGTTCCATTTTCCTATCTGGTGGGTAATGTTAGATAGCAATTAATAAAACGGGAGTGAATACAGAAAAAACAACTCAAAATTATTAACTCTCCTGAAAAGCAAAAAGGGTAGGTATTACAGACAAAACAATCTGCCCGAAATCCCGAAAATGTGTCCCCTTCCAAGAATGGACTATTTTTGAGGGTTGAAACGTTTGAGTCCAGCCAGAAATGTCCACAATTTCTAGATTGCTTCCTGTCCCAAGCCACCAAATTCCTTATCAATCCCTTTACTAGAAGATGCACCCAGACAAATTTTCAAGGGGGTGGCACACAGAACCCCCAGGAAGGCAATAATGCAGTTTGTTTAATGTGGGGAATTGTGAAGAAAAAAATGGCCAGGGCAGCCTGCCAGGAAGAAGAACCAATACTAACCAATTCTAAGCTGTAGTGAGTCAACTGAAAAGAATACTGAACTAATACTAAACCAATTCTAAACCGTAGTGAGCCAGCTCAAAGGAATACTAAACCACTACTAAACCAATTCTAAACAATATTGACTGGACAACTACTCAGGCAGGTCCCAGTCTGACCCCCATTTTGTTTTTGGGGTTCTCGCTATTGACCCCCCCAATTCGTTTGAGGGGGGGGGGGCCCTTTATTAATCACTCTCCAACATTAACCCCCACTCCACCTAAGCACGGAAATGGAAGCAAGCCACAGATTTTAGGGGGCTTCCCTAGAAGCCAACCCCATTTGGGCACCTGTTTCGTCAAGCGTCGCAGGTACTCTCTGCAGCGGAGCCGGAAGCCCCTCTGGCGCCTAGTGGGGTACCTAAGAGCAGGCGCTGAATGTTTCAACATGCTTGGTCCCACCCAGTAGGTTATCACCATGGCTATACGGGAGCTAGCCCCAGCTACCCCAGTTATAACCATGGTCATCACTCATCACGTACCTTTTTAAATGGATTGAACATCCATGTGGCCATGGCTCGCATGCTAACCCTCATACTGGTCGTCTAAATTGTTTAGGAATCCACGGCCCGGATGTCGGCTTTCTGATGTTGACCTCACATTCTCACTGTGCAAATGCCAGGGGCATTTCTTCAAAAAGTGAAGAGTTCTTTCTCTATTAACCAGGGGCTATAAATCACTGGCTTCTCAATGGGGCCCGCGAGCAAGCAAGCTTGCCCGAGTCAATGTGCAGGAACCTCACTCACGCAATCCTTTGCAGACGGCGGGCATTGGCAGAACCCTGAGTTGCCATTCACCTGAGTCGATCAGCAATTTCGAAGTGCCCACATAGCACTCACAAGGCGATTCAACCACACGAGCTGTGCTGTTAGAATATGCAAAGAAAAAAGGCGACATAGGCGATCTCATCCCAAAAGGGTCCAACCCCCAGAGATACAGCTACTTGTTTGAATGGGTTGGGCGCTGATACAATTGGACCCTTTGGTGTGCGGTTTTGCGCCCACCCGCCTGTGAGGGTGTTCCCCATTTCCCTCCCACCAACACGGAAGCACGCAAAGACCTCGGGAAGACTTTCGCCTGGAACAGGGATCCTGCGCACTTCCCTGTTTGCTGGGAGGGGACACTTCATCGCCAGCTGAGTACAGATGGACAAACTCTTTCTCACCAATTTGGATGCATGAAAGCCTCTTGAATATTGTGATAGACCACCGACCAACTGGTGCGAAATGGGCTCTGCCCATCGACATGGAAGGGGAGATATCCCAACCTCGACGCCTAGTTGCAATCGCCGCCGTGCATGGCTTGTCTGCTGATGGCTCCAGCACGCCCGTTGGGGAGCAGCCTCCAGTTTGACGCCAAGCCAGGCACTGCGATGTTCGTCCCTTGGATCGGCCAAACGTCAAACCCAGGACCCAAGGGCCTGGGTTGCTAGTCAGAGGGGCCCACTAAAATAGTTCGTGGATGGACGAAATCCTGCACCTAAGAAACCCTGGCATGCTTCGACTCCTCTGTAAATACCAGCAACAAAAGGTTTCCAAGTGGTGCAGGAGTTCGTCCATCCACAGTACGAAAAGGGGACCATCCCTGATTGCAGGACCTTAGGCCCCTCAGGAATCAAGGCGGGTTCCCAGCATGCTACAAGTAAACCGAGCAGCGGCACATGCTTTCTTGAGATGCCTACAACCTCAACCCCCTGTCTCGGCGGCTGGCAATGGCCAAGGCTTCCGGCGGCAAGCGGCGTGGGTCGACTGAAAGTGGCGAGAACGCAAAAACATGGTGGGGGGGGATCCGAATCCTATTTCGCATCAGTAGTCGGACGCCACTACAGGGGACATCACTACCATTTCGCATGAGGACTACGGATTGATTTCGAGCAATTCAGGCTGTGCAAGTCAAGCTTCTGCCACCACTTCGGCCTTCTCTGCCAGAACGTCTGATTCTTGACGCCGCTTGAGCGTGTGAACGCGCACTAGCCAATCAGCCAATGAGGGCCAGGTTCCTCAGGTGAGTTTTGGACGGTGAGGGAGTGGATGGTTGAAGTGGCTTGTGGTTCCTCTCTGGCAAGCAGTGGCAGCAAGCGATCCTGCCACATCACTGATAGCAAACTTGTGCTGCTCAGCGTCTGTCGATATGCAAGAGGGTCTCAAACGAGTGAATGGCTTGCCTCAGGCAATGAACGACATCAAAGGATCTTCATCTTGACCACTGTGACATGCTTTTCTTGCTTGTCTGCCGGCATGTCTCCGCTAGATTTGAAGTCCATTGTTTCAGGTGAAGCTACTGATAACGGCCTTGATCTATCCGGAGCTTGCCCTGCTCTTCCATGGCAGCTGCGAAGCGAGGAAAGAGCGACAGCGCCGCGCCGATCGCCTCAATCGAAATGGGTGGAGTGAGCAAAGGCCGCTAGAAGTACTAGAGGGGAGGGGGCGCATGCTGAGTGGGCGTGCATCCCGGAGCTTAAAACATCAGAGCAACCCTCCCCCTCAAACAAACCGTAGATTTCCCACTGCTGGCTTAGCAAAGGGACGTCAGAAAGAGGGATCTCGTTGAGAATCGGAGGTTTGTTGGCGTAAGGGAATCGAATCATAATGGCAAATGGAAGCACTAGGTCTTATTGGATGTCCGCGCAAGCCAACAGAAGCATCTGGGTGAAACATGCAAGGCTTCTGCATGTGCTAAAGTCTGCACACCCCCTTTCCGCACTTCAAGCGCGGGGATTGGGTAATTTGTCGAATATACACTGCGTTCAGAATGTCATAGCCCCAACACTTGCGTTTTGGAAGTTTCCTGGCTGGGAACTTCTTCATCAGCTGGTTCTGGGCTAACTGTCTCCGTCTCGTCTGCTGGTTCTGGGCTAACAGTCTCCGTCGGATGGACCGACAGCGCTCGATCGAGCTGGAAGACTGGCTCTCTCGGCACGCGGCACTGCAGAAGCACCAAAGGCAGCATCAGGCCGGGAAAAAACGGCAGCTGCGCATACGCGGGCGCATCATAGTGCACCACAGGCCACAGCATGGCGCCAGCGATGTAGGCGAAGAGTGGCAACACGCAAATAATCACCAGCGACGTCAGCATCACCTCATGGTGGCAGCTGGCTCCGTGGCGGAAGGTGTAGGTCAAGAACTTGCACCACGAGCTAACGCCTGGGATCACCATGAAGGTAATGGTCAGGCCGGTGCACAGCCAAAAAAACGTGTTCTTCAGGTCCTCCCGCTGGTAGAGAAAAGATGCTATGTCAAGGCACGCCCAAAGTGCAGGCGCACCAACCGCGCAACTCCACTTGTAGCGAAAGGTGCACCACTGGAGCTGATGGACCAGCACGTCCGTCACATCTGTTTGGATGTAGTGTTCAAATGCTTCAGTGGACCCAAACCACTCCGTGATGCATGCGCAGATAAGTTCCTTGTCGCAAAAAGACACTCCCACATGGCCCGAATCGCAGCAGGAGCAGCTTGTATCCATGATGCTCAGCGTCCTGAGCGTCTTCTCCATGTCCTCCACTGCTCGGTAGTAGGCGCGGAAGACGCTGATGGCCGGGACAGCTGTTGCAAATCCGAGCCCGGCAACGCAACAAATTACCATGGTGAAGTCGAAATCGGTAAGCGGCACAAAGGTCAAAGCTGCAAAGGCGCACGACAGCAGGAAGAAAGCCGCGATTGAGCAAGGGCCCATCATCGTAGGGCGCACCCTGGGAACGCCTTTGTTGAGGCTCAGGAAGGCGGCCAGCTCAAACACGCACCACAGCCTGGATGGCCAATTCGGGTCCCAAAGCACCAGCATAGATTCCGACTTCTGAAGGAGCCCAGGCAGGCTGACAATGGCTGCCATCTTCAGTCCCTGGTCATCCTGACTGATGCAAATGCGATCCAAAAAGACTCTTCTTTGAGACCGGAAAAGTGCCAGCGTCAAGAGTACCCCTACGATGCCAAAGGGTAGGCCCCACAAAGAGAAACCTTTTGTGCCAACGAGGACGTCGTCAGGATAGCCCCGGCTGGAGCCTGGCAGCATTCCCAGCAGGAAGAGCGCCACCCCTATCAAGGCGCAAAAGCACCCCACGCACAAAGCGGCTGGGCCATTGTACATCACCAGGAGCGTAAGGAATTTACCCCAGGAATTGCCGAGCCACGCGTGGCTCCAAAAGTCCTGGATCTTATCTGTGGCTCTGCTGCGGTGGTACAGGTGCCCACATTTTACGTTCGCCCGCAGAGCTGCCCCGCAGGAAAAGAAAGCCTGGTGGGCCTTGGTGCTCCGCAAAATTTCTCCAGCCACCTGCTTGGTCGACATGAAGTTCACCACCTTCTGCTTGACCGACGCCTGTACAGCATGCTCGCAAGATCGGTCAAGCTCCTCCAAGGACTCTGAGCTGAGGCTAGGGCTCACTGACATCTTGAGCGGGTGAGCTGTTTGAGCAAAACTTCTCTCGGTGAGTCCCCTGGGTTCAGAAGAGTCCGTGAGTCCAAATCCCGACCATCTACTCAGTTTGACGAACCTCAAATTAGCTGAGTTGCAGTCACCAGGTGACTGAAGTCCCCAACAAACCTTCATCTACCCTCTGTCTTCCAAACGGGGCGAAGCGAATGTGCACCAAATCAGGTTGGGAGGACTTGTCAAGCTTTGATTGCTCAAGTACTTTCACGACTTTATACCAATCGTGCAGCATTTACTGCGGATAGAAAGCGGTTCTCCAAAAAACTCCGCTTTTTGGGCTGGCGGTTTGAGGCTTCCATTGGAGTCAAGCAGCTTAGGGCTCAAATAACTTTCGAATGGAGGGGTACTTTCGTCATTCGCGGACTCTAGGAGTATACTACCCAGCGCTTCCAGTTTCCGCTATAGTAGGTAACCAGGTATCTTACATGATGGCTTCCCCTGGTTGCCTCCAAAATGGTACCATTATTACTCCAAAATGGGATCCCAAAACAGAATAGGTTCTAAAAAATGGGTGGTGCACCTACCTGGAGTCTCCATGACCCTTGAAAAATGGGTCAATGACCCCAATATTTTGGGTCAGGTACCCCCATGTTTAAGGGTCAGAAGGAGACTCCAGGTAATGTTGACCCCGGATTAATAAACCCCTGCTTATTAATATGGGGGGGTTCCCCTCCAAAAGTGATAAATCCCCACTAACACCAGGGACAAGTGGTACCCCAAAATGGGATCCCATTGGTTTTGACCGCCAAGTGGCCGCCTCGGACTCCTCCAACTTCCGCTGTCGCCGGTGGCACCTGGCCCTGCGCAGCTCCAGCACCGCCGAGGCCCAGGGGCTGTCGGCCATGGGCAGCTCCGCCTGAGGCGAAGCCACCGACTTTTTTGGGGAGCCAGGCCGCTCAATTGGGGTCTTCCTAAGAAACAGAAACCGACAAAACAAAACCTCTAGAAACCTAAAACATGATCCAACAGTGGAGCACCCTCCCACCAACTAATATGGAACCTGATTTTTTTGGGGGGGCATCCACATAAATTCATGACATTGCCATTGCCCTCCCACCCTTCTCACATGGAACCTGACGTTCGGGAAATAGTCCCTTTCAAAAAATTGTCCAAACTAAGCCACCCCCCGAACGTGAGGTTCAATGTGAAAAGGGTGGGAGGGTAAGAAGGAATGCTACTCACAATTGGAGGTTGACCAAACGGCCCCTCAAACATGGGGTGACCAGCAAAACAACAAAACATGTTTGACTCACCAACAAATGGGAGAGTTACCCAAGGTCATTTTGGGCCAGAAATGTTGATCAACCCCCCCAATTCTTGCCTAGTAATTTCTTCCTTCGGCTTTTTACCACCTTCGGGCACTTGTAGTAGCGGGGGCAAATAGGTAACCAGGGTGACTATCCACTTACTAAGCCTGCTTCCTCCAGTACAGGGTTCCTTGAAGGATGCGTTAAAAACGTCGGCTTTACAACGGAATCCTCTTTAGCCAGTCAAGTTTAGGTGAGCGCAAATGGCTGGCACGAAGCCCCCTCCCTCCTCTTCCGAGACAGACATCCCCTTGCATCCCCTTGCGTTGCGTGTGCCTTCTAGGGGGCTTGGGTCACTGTGAGAATTGTAGAGGTGCAATCAGGGATCCACAAAAAGGGTAGATCCTTCGGATGAACCTTCCCTCCCACCTCCACGTTCTCCAGGCTGGCGGGTCCTTCGCAAGGAAGGAAGGTGTTCCAAAAGACGTCCCCCCCCCTAGTTTGCAACGCCAAGGTATGTGTCAACACAGGGACTCGGACCCGAAAAAAAAATTGGCAGCTTTGGGCTTCCCTTTGAAACAACCAACCTGAAAAGGGGTGCTTTCCCTCACACCCAAAGTGTACCCGACATCCAAACTGTGAGGCGTTGAGGCCAGGGAGACCTAATGGCCACGCCTTCCAAGCAAGCGTCGGTGCCGTCGGCTTCCGAAGCTTCGGCGGCTTGAACTGCGCTGGGCAAGCTAAAGCCATCCTTGCACGAACAGTTGGTCAGTTGGTCGGCAGGTCGGTTGGTCGGCAGGTCGGTTGGTCGGTTGGTCAGTTGGTCAGTTGGTCAGTTAATCAGTTCGTCAGTTGGTCGGTTGGTCGGTTGGTCAGTTGGTCAGTTGGTCAGTTGGTCAGTTGATCAGTTGGTCGGTTGGTCGGTTGGGCAGTTGGTCAGTTGGTTAGTTGGTGAGTTGGTAAGTTGGTGAGTTGGTCGGTTGGTGAGTTGGTAAGTTGGTGAGTTGGCGAGTTGGTCAGTTGGTCGGTTGGTCATTTCGTCAGTTGGTCAGTTGGTTGGTCAGTTGGTCAGTTGGTCAGTTGGTCAGTTGGTCAGTTGGTCAGTTGGTCAGTTGGTCAGTTGGTCAGTTGGTCAGTTGGTCAGCTGGGCATAGTTGGTTGGTGGGTATGTGGCTGTGTGGGTCGGCATGGCTTTGTGACTACAGTTTGCACCTTCCATCCAACTCCCTCAGCTTCCAGCGCCCTGGTTGGCTTTGGCTTCCAAGGGGCTGGCGGCCCAGTCTCCAGGCCCTTCCCTCCCAGCGGCAGCGCTGGCAAGTTCCGCCCTGAGATGGCGGCTTGGACCTGGCCAGCCGGGAGCCCTGCGACTGGCCCGCCAGTAGCCCGACTGGCAATCGGCGTTTTCTTTAAAACCCTCCCCCCTAGAAAAAAAAACACACAAAAGAAACAAAAAACAACAGTCGCCATGTCAAACTTTGGCTTTGTTTGGACCCCCCCTCCCCAAAAAACTTCAACCCAAACCCTACCAAACAAATCCGTCTATTGTCCAACGAGTTCTTCCCCACGAAAGAAAAAAATGCAACCATCGGTGTAATCATCGACATCTTCAATGATGGTCGCCATTGAAACCGCTCGAGTATGAATCACTTCAAGCTTTGGTTCTCTTTGGCCCCCCAGAAGTTAAAAACAACACACAGAAACAAAAAACACGCCTTCCCAGGATTGCCCTAAACAGCTCTTCAAAGCTTGGATTTGGAAGCACGGAGAAAACCCAGCCTATATTTCTTTAGGACCTAGTGGGAACGATCCCTGGCCGTGATTGGTTGTGTCCTATTTAACTTGTCTGTCAGAGGGATCCGGATCAAGCCCGCACTTGTGTCCTTCATGGGGATTTATCTTCGAACAGGGGAAGGCCTCCCCCCCCCGCCGAAAAGATGAGCGATGTTTTTGGTATGTCTGTGTCTGTGCGTCTTTGTTTTGGTTTATCTGCAAAACTTGAACCGGCTTTCTTTTGGAAAACTAACATTCATGGGCTATTATGCACACAGTATCGAAACCAGGCTGCAAGTAGATGCCACAATTCCCTGTGTCGAAAGACTGTACATCAAAATGCGTGAGTTCAGCATCCCCCCCAATTGTTTGGGGAGGGTAGGGGCTTTCGGTTTCGCATTTACCTGTGCAAGACCCAGGGCTCGAATCCACCAAACCAAAGGGTTACCTGAGGATATTGTGCCATCGAGCCTCGTGCTTGTAGAAGTTAAAGTACCGCTTCAGCCTTTCCAGCATTTCCTGCGCCTCATCGAGTGACCGTAAAAAAAGATGCCCATTGTCCGATTTGCTTTGCAACTTGGGTATTAGCCCTGGTTTTTGGACAGCCGCATGAGACGGTACCCAACGGCTGATCAAAGCACTGCGCTTTGCAAGTTCCGTGTTTCGGCCACCCCACTTCTGGAATGGAGCTGTCTGTGATGCCAACGGGGTGGTTGGTGTGGAGGCGGCAAAGTGAGGCGGGGAGGCCTTGCCATGACCGCAGAAGGTGGCCCATGCTTTCCACCAAGGCGCCCCCACGCCGACGACTTGCCAGGGCAATTCGTCATCATCATCCTCGCAAATGCAACCAAACCATCTGCCCTGCAAGTCTGAAATCCAACGGGCCTCCACCCCTCCAAGCAGCCAAAGGGAAAGCAGGGTTTCTTAGGCGTGGCTTTGTTGAGGCTTCGTAGCTTCTCTCCTTTTTAATCAAATTGAACCACTTGTTTTGGCGGGGATCCCTAAAATACTGACACGCCCATTTTAAGGGCCTCCGCTTCCTTGAGAGACACCCGAATTTACGTTCAACGCTCTCTGCGCGTTGCAATTTCACGCTTCGCCTCAACAGCCTGCGCCACCGCGCTGCCGGCCTGCCGCATGGCTTTGGTAAAACTCCGGCCACCACAGCATGAATGCGGCTGAGGTCCTGAAGACTACTTGGTGTTCGGCCAAGTTGGTGAGTTGTTGGTGATCTAGGTTAGAACTCACTTATAAGTCCCCCTAGGTTGGGCTAACCTTGCTACAAGGGGGCTATACCCCAAGTGGCGAACCACTTACTACCTTGGCCGACCACCCCAAATAGAATCCCGTCAAAGGGACCCGCTAGTGGGTTGCATCCTGGACTGGAGGGTTTTTAGCATGTCCTTACAGAACTTGTGCTAGCTCCTTAGGTCCATCTGTGTCCGCCAATTTGGCCCTAGCTCCGGAGGGCTCGTTTAACCAGCAGCTAGTAACTCAGTTTGGGTCTTGTGGCCAAGACCAGACGATGCTAAGAGGCTAGGCTTTGTCTCGAAACAGGATATGACCCCCTCCCCCCCCCCGAAAAAAAATGGCTCACCTTCAGATTTCCATTTAAACACCCCAAAGGGTACCAACTCTAAAAAACGCGAGCAAGATACGGACATGTGGGGTCCAAAATATGCAAAAAGCTGGCGAGGAAAAGATTGAACCGGACATGTGAGGAAAACAACCAGCCCATACCAGCCCCTTGTTCCTTTGAAGGGACACCAAAAGAAGGCTGACTTGCATGTTCAAGTCACGGCCAATTCCACCTAGTTCTATCAGACAACCACTTTCCATCTCCCATGCACCACCCCAATCAGTTCCAAACGCACACATTCTGCTTACAATGGGGCCCGCCTTGCCATATTTCCCCATATTTCCCCGTCCCCCCTAACCTTAGTTCATTGTTGCAGGGGGGGCGTTCGGACTCCAAGATGCGTTTCCTTCTTGCCTTCCCGTACCCCCAGTGAACATCTCCATCCCCACTAAAATAGACTAAAATGGGCCCAAAACGGTACCATTGGTTGTGGCAACCACGGCCATATGGCCGTGTGTTGTTTCGGTTCCCCCATCTTCCGCCTTCAGGTTGGGCTCTGTGTCCTTGGTGCGGTGCACGTGGCTCCACCTGCGCCCGCTGCCGGGGATCAACTGGTCCCCGTCGTGGCGCAAACGGTCGGCCTGGCCGGGTTCGGAGGTTTCGGAGTCCGAGTTTGGACCTCACCTGGAGTCTCCATGAGCCTTGAAGAATGGGTCGATGACCCCAGTATTTTGAGTAGTGGCCAACCCTTTTAAAAGGGTCATGGAGACTCCAGGCAGATTTCATCCACCGCAGTTTAGTCTTGGCGGGGTGGGGGCCCCTCCAAAACAAATGATTGCCCAAACCCAGCAACACCCCAGTTTGTTAACAGGGGCCTCCCATAGTGATGATTCCCCAAACCCAGAAACATCCTAAAAAATGGGGTTGATTTATCTGGGGTCAACCTTACATGCATCCAACCAAACATGCGTCACGTGGGTGTCTCGGATTTGGGGGGTCCAGTTACCTCGCAAAATGGGACAAATACTCCTGTGAAGTTTTTTGGGTGGTTTGGGGTTGGGCTCCAAACAAGAGTAAGGTTGCATGATGAGGCGCTTGCAAGCAAAGCTCATCGACCCGCCTTGAGCACAACAAAGAAGAACCACGAACGAGTCAATTCATCCAAGTGGGCAAGCACTGGCTCAAATCCTGCACCTTGTCCGGGTCGATTAAAACCTCGAATGCGCTGGGCAGCTTTCGTGGCCAAGCCCAGGCTATGACTCTGCCAAGCCTGCTTGTGAACAATAACCCCATCTGTGACCACAAAATGGTTAACCCGCATGAGCTCTGCATCACATTCTTACTGGGCATTCCCTTGGCCACCGAAAGAAACTCGCAACCTAAAACCCAAATTTCCACCATGCCTAGCGTTGTGGCAAGTTGCCCACTCAGTCTGCCTCCCAGTGCTGCGCCGCACGCTGTCAGATGCCCCCACCAAACATAGACGCCACCCAGTGTAGTCATGTCCTGCCACGCAGGAACGGCACAAAAAACATCAGGGCAGCGCTCATTGAACATATTGAACATCATCCCCAGGTTCATGCTGGCGCCAAACAAATTTCCGTGATCAAAGTCAGCCCGTCTGTCGTAGGTTAAAGGGAAACGACCCCATTTCTGACTTTGATTTCTCCAAACGCAGTCAACATTTAATGACCTCAGTCATAAGCAAGGCGGGTGCCGACTCATGCCACTGCAAGCTGCACACTGGGGCGCGGTCGGTACGAGAAGGTGAAGGAGTGACTGAAGCCGCCGGGCACGTGCTGCTCCCGGGAGTACAAGCCATTTAGGCCTCCTCAGACTAAGGCCATTTGACAACTGGCCGTAGGTCAAAACCAACGGGATCCCATTTTTTGGTCCATTTAGTCCATTTTAGTGGGGATTGGGATGTCCACTGGGGGTATTGACCCATGGCCAACTGTTAAACTGTCCCAAATGATAATTCGGCCGGTGGACTTTCAACCACAACATAGCAGTTCAACTTACTCTTTGCCTTCGGCTCGGAATTCCCCCCAAAGTCGTGAATATTTGGTTGGCCCCGGACAGTCAGAAAGTGGGCGGTTTGGAACATTCAAGGTCGGCCCCGTGGCTTTGCCGATTAATCAAGAGTAGGCGGTTTTTACTTCAAACCAAAAACTCGTTCGATCGCCTGTCCCGGCTGGCGACTCAGTGCGGCGCTGATACTCGAGCCACCGATGAAGAAGCCCACTGGTGGCTCAGTGACCTGAGCATACCTCAAGCCAATCGACGCGACGAAAGCATCCTGGCTGGGGGCTAGCAGGCGCGACAAGAGCTCGCTGCTGCATGATTATGTGTGTGTGTGTGCGACCAATTGTTTCAAAGGTCTTTGCCTCAGGTGGAGGCTGCTGTGCTTCTGCTGAAAGTGCAACTGCTCTTGGCGCTGCCTTAGCAAGAGGTACCTTGTCGTCGGCCGCTGCTGGAAATTGGATTGCAAGCGGTTGTTTGAACGCTCCAGTCACCTTGCGTGTAAGCTTGTCAAATTGCGGACTGTGTTCAACGGTCCTGCAAACATTTGTTGCAACGGGTTAAAAGCGTGTCATGGGTGCTGTGTGCTGTGCATCAGGCCTTGAGTATGGGTTGCATGCGAACGGCTTGTCTGGAGCAGCGCGCAAACAAGAAACAATCCACCGCCACCCTGCCCCACCCGCCACCCCGCCCCACCCGCCGCCCGATCCAAGCAAGGCTACCCAGCGAAGCGCCGGCCGCCGCCGCCGCCCTGAAAGGAGCCAACAGCGCCCGGGCCCACCAGACTGGAGCTCAGCGCCCCCTGCGCACCCCCAAACCCAGGACTTGAAACAGGTCCACCTACGATTTCCCTTGAGCACTGGAAGGCCTGCCCAGCGCTTCCAGGCCTACAGCAACCTTTCGCTACAGAAATTACGTCTGGGTGTCGGGTGGTTCCCGTGGTCTGGAAGCGCTGGGCTAGCTCGACCGGTTCTTTTCCCTCCTTCTGCCTTCTCTGCTTGGCCGGTTTTCACAGCTTTTCTGTGGCCCCTTTGCAGGAAATGAAGCGACGTCTGGCTTTGGGCTTTGGGCGAATTGCCGGTCGAATTTCCGGGAAGTTCGTTTCTGTGTCTGCCATGCGAACCTGTGGGGTATGACTCACGTAGTGGGATAGACCACCCCTACCAACCCCATGTCTGGGTTTGTCTAGTCGGGCAGGGCATGCTCCCTTGCAGTGCCCTTATCTGATTGAGCCGTCAAACTCTTCAAATCACCTCTGTTTGCCTTCCCTTAAGACCAAAAATCCAGGGCCCGGTTGTCAAAACGCTTGGCGTAAACCCTGCCTGGAACAGCGCAAAGAGGCAGGACGCCGGCCTGGCAGGTCAAACAAATCGGTGCCTACCTTCACCCTAGTCTACTCAGCGTGGTCAAGGTTCAACCCTCTACCTAGGATTGATTTATTTGTGTTCCTTGTTCAGCATTTAGCAAAGGGCGGAGACAACCCAATTTGTGGTTTGGACGGCTGGGGATCTTTGGTCCCTAGCAAATGGGACACCAACCCCCAACCTCCAAACCAGCAATGCAAACCACAAAGTAGATGGACACTGATGCCCATGGACCCAACAATCACAACATCCTAGGATACAGTGTGACAAACACCCTTGGATACCTCTGGTCATGGCACGAGGGTACTTACCGGGCTACAGCCGTAAGGGCTGTCAGATTTCGAGCAGAAGGATTAACACTGGCTGGCGGTGAGATGTTGCAAAATATCGCAAAGGGACCGCCTTGCTTTGGTCGTTCTATCAGCCTGCCGGGTGTGAAATAGGGGGTCTGGAAAAATCGATTATTACCCATCCCATTTCCAATTGCGCGTATTTTTTTGGAAGTTGACGAACCATTAAGGGCACGGCTCATGCGTGTCGTCAAGTCCGCAGCCGCCGGGCAGGGGGTCTCAAAGCCCCGACAAAGCCCTGCGCGCTAACTTGAACATGCCTCCAGTGAAGCTTCAGCCCGGCGTGTCCATTGCTCATTTCAGACAGCGACACGGCGTGTTGCGCTGCGTCTTTGAAAGCTTTTACTCACACTGGATCAAACGTTAGCCTGTCTCCTTGACAAACTCTGTATACAAAGCCTGTTCCTGACCTACTTGTGATGACAAAACCGCAGGCTTCTTCCACAGCGGAACGGTGGCTCTCGGTGGTCATACACGTTATTGCACCGTTGGTTTGCAGCATGTTGGGGAGATGTCCCGTCTCTTTCTGCAACGTCGGGCCATTTGACCGAAAAACCCTATCCTTTCCTTCGATGCGGCGCAGCCCTTGGTCACCAAGGGTTCCATGCAACTGCCCGTCCCAGTTTGACAAACTCCCCTTTTGCTCTTGCCCGCCCGGCTACCTCCCTGAATATTGAAACAAAGCACCACATCCATGCAATCAAGGAACGTGATGTCTTGCGGTCTTGCAAACAAAAGCAACCTGTCGACTTCTGAGAAAAGAAACGCAGCCCGAGGTTAAACAACTGCTTTTCTTCAATGCTCAGCCTTGGCAATCTGACATCCGGATAGCGCGCAGCATGCCGGAGCTGCTGGGCGGGAAGCAGAGGCAGCACCAGTAGGTGTTGGAGACAAACAATTCTGAGCTTCCTAGCACTTCTACGGTGTCTCATTTTTTAGCAAGACGGCCAAGAGCACCATGGCTGCTTCGCAGGTCTGGCGGTCCGGCGAAGACAGGACGGCTATGGACGGCTTGCGTAGGTGCAAGTTGACGTTTGTAAGGGACATGGCAGACCAGGGCCTTGCAAGAAGCAGGCCTCGCGCATTCTGCACGAATGCAACGCCTGTGGTGTTAATGTTCCAGCATGGAACATGCAATGTCTCAATCGCGCCCAGAGCCGTTTTGCGGTCAGTAGCCACTGAAACATCCCTGCGTCGCGCTTGGGGTCGAGTTGAACAGCCAATGTAACTCATGTATGTCACTCGTGCCCCACAACATAGCGAGATGTGGGATCTTGCCAATGCGCCTTGCTAGGAAACTGGCACGCCTGGCATCGACCAACAAAACGGCTTGGTGTGATGGCATTGCCCATCTAGCAACGTTGCACAGCCCATGTCTGCCGAAATCTAAAGAATTTGACGCTGGCGCATGCCGGCTGAAAAATGACAAAAAACTCCAAGCCCCTCTTATTCCGGCTCCAAGCTTCCTATCCCTATATGTAATATGTAAGCAGTAGCGAATACACAAATCGTGCGCAGCTTGAAAATAGCAACTGGAGGAAACAGCGCGTCTCACAACAAGCTTGGTGTTGGAAAGGACTACCACTGCTGCGGCGCTTGGTCCAGTAGGCTCGCATTTGTTTGTACCAGGCTCTCTGAATGGGTTGCACGGACGACCAAGTTCTTCGTCAAACTTTCCCGGCAGGAATTCATAGGCGAAGAACCCTTGGCAAATCGCTGCGCTGACCTAGGGAATTTCGTCTAGCGGTCCGCGCGCATCGTCGTGACCTAGTAGAATCCTGTGCAACGAAGATTGCGCCGCAAGCCTTGCGCAAAAACAAACTTGCGCAGACAAGAGCGCGCGCGTTGCAAAACGCGTGCATGGACCCTGCAGGGATACAGGTGCAGTGAAGCTCTCGCGAAAGAACTTATGCTTGTCTCGCATCCTGTCTCGCTTGCGTGAGGGAATGTGCGTCTGGGCCTACCAACTCTAGCGTGTCTTCGCATTTTTTGGCCAGTTTTGTCGCGCTAATCCCCGCTTACGCCCTTGCGGCAAACATATTACTCAAAATACTTCTCCACAGCTCCGGCTCGACGTGATTCTTCCGAGGTGTTGTTTACGCCTGCGGAATGGGAAACATATGTTCTCATGTTGCAAATAATTTGTTCCACGCAGGTCCGAATTGACACTCCGAACCTTCAACCTACAAAATTGTAATTGCCACGCCCCTCAGGCTTCGAAGACAGGAAGGAGAAAGGGTAGAAGTGATGGACAAATGGGTGGATAACCAAACGTGCGGCAAGGACAAACATGCAAGTTACAAAGCGCACGGTTCACACTCGAAGCTGGACATGGTAAGGGGGCAATGCGATTCGGGCGGGGCCCAGCAAAAGCGCTAAGGCGTTGCACATGTGCAAGCCTGCGGGATAAGCCGGCTGCAGCTTGTTGGCGTTTGCTTTAGTGCAATCGCTCCAGCTGAGGGGTTCTGCCACACCTTCAGGCATGGCCTACTGCCGGCCAACTGCCAAGCAGTGGCAGGCGTACCTGCCTGCGCGCCTGTCCTGGAAAAACAAGCACGTTTCCGCCCCCGCCTAACTTCTGGTACAACCCTCCTACACTCAGATGGCCTGGGACTTAAGTACGTAGTAACCCTAGTTGCAACCCGTGCACCCCATTTACCATGGTGCAGTCCTCGAGATAACCAGGACTCGCTGTTTGGTGATTTGTCCCACATCTAAGCAAGCCATTGCTTGGCTCGCGGTGCTGCAGGTGAAGCAAACAAAGCCTGCGCAAGAAGTGCTTTGCTTCAGCGTATCTACAATGTTTGCACTCTAAAACGCTCATACCCACCCCCTAAAAATGCATAAGGCCCTCCCGAAAACATAAGCACTAACTTTGAGATCCAACAAACACAACAAAGCAAACAGAACTTCAGACCCTATGTATCCATGTTGGCTGAGTTAGGGTATGTCTCCCCCCCTTAAAAACAACAAAAAGACATGATACTTTGCGGTGTCAGGGGTCGGGCTTGCGCCACAGACCTGGGGTGCGTTGCGCAGCTTCTCGGAGAAGCATGTCGGCAGGATGCACCAGAGTGGCAGGCGCACTGAAAAACGCAGCGGCGCCCTGTGCCGCAAGGGCACCCTGCGCTGGCTCAGGCGTTCACAGCGATCAGCGACCGTCCTGTGCCAGAGCTTCAATTTCATGACAGCTATAATATTTTCACTTGCTGTTTAACTTTCCGAATAAATCCCAGCGTAGGACTGGATGACCGGGTGTGTAGAGCCATTCAAGCAACTGTAAACAAAGCTGCAACACGGCGCAGGCAAACTGCGCAGGCGAACTGCGCAGGCAAATGAACCGAGTGGGCCGAGAGAGTGGGTGGGTGAGTGAGTGGATGAGTAGGGAGGTGAGCTTGAGAGCAAAGGCAAGTGAGGGAGCGAATGGAGGGGGTAAGCTGGTTGCGGCAGGCTGAGGCAAAGCTGTGAAAGTGCTCACGCTCAACCCTAAGTGGCGCGATGACGTGGACGCATGGCGGCCCGGGCAGTGGGCCATGGAAAGTCGCCCGATCCCACCGATCCCACCGATCCCAGGTTGCCCTTGCCACCAAAATCTGCAGGACGAGTCACGCAGGGCCGTGCCTAAGCGCAATGGCGAGCGAGACAGCCCCTAATAAGCGAGTGAGTGAGTGAAGAAGTATCCGGTTGATTGATTGATTGATTGATTGATTGATTGATTGATTGATTGATTGATTGATTGATTGGTTGATTGATTGGTTGGTTGATTGATTGATTGATTTGTTTGTTTGTTTGCTTGCGTGCATGCTTGCTTGAGTGACTGACTGACTGACTGACTGACTGACTGACTGACTGACTGACTGACTGACTGACTGACTGACTGACTGACTGACTGACTGACTGACTGACTGACTGACGCACGCACTCCCTCAGTCACTCACTCACTGACTCGCTGTTTGATTGATTAATTGATTGTGTGTTGGTTGGTTGGTTGGTTGGTTGGTTGGCTTGTTGGTTTGTTGCTTGCTTGCTTGCTTGCTTGCTTGCTTGCTTGCTTGCTTGCTTGCTTGCTTGCTTGCTTGCTTGCTTGCTTGCTTGCTTGCTTGCTTGCTTGCTTGCTTGATTCCTTGGTTCCTTGCTTGCTTGGTTCTTTGGTTCCTTGGTTCCTTGCTTGCTTGGTTCTTTGGTTCCTTGGTTTCTTGCTTGCTTGCTTGCTTGCTTGATTGATTGCTTGCTTGCTTGCTTGCTTGCTTGCTTGGGTGGTTGCTCTCTTGCTTGCCTGCCTGCCTGCTTGTTTGATTGGTTGATTGACTGACTGTTTGATTGAGCGCAAAAGCGAGTGAGAGACTGAGTGGGTAGGTCCGTGGGTCACTCAGTGAGTGCGTGGAGCGGAGCGGAGCGGGTGAGAGTGGGAGTGTGCGGGGGAGAGAGAGAGAGACAAAAAAGAGAGAGAGAGAGAGAGAGAGAGAGAGAGTGAGAGAGTGAGAGTGGGGTGGGAGTGGGAGTAGGAGCTGGGGTGGGAGCGGGCGTGGAGTCGCTCGCTCGCTCGCTCGCCCGCCCACTGCCCACCCAACCGCCCACCCCACTCACTCAGTCACTCACTCCCTCTCCCTCACTCAGCCACTCACTCACTCCCTCACTCAGCCCCGCACTCACTGACTCCCACTCCCACTCCAACACGCCCACTCCCGTGGGTGAATGAGAGTGAGAGTGAGAGTGAGAGTGAGTCTCTGAGTCTCTGAGTGAGTGAGTGAGTGAGTGAGTGAGTGAGTGAGTGAGTGAGTGAGTGAGTGAGTGAGTGAGTGAGTGAGTGAGTGAGTGAGTGAGTGAGTGAGTGAGTGAGTGAGTGTGAGTGAGTGAGAGAGAGTGAGTGAGTGAGTGAGTGAGTGAGTGAGTGAGTGAGTGAGTGAGTGAGTGAGTGAGTGAGTGAGTGAGTGAGTGAGTGAGTGTGTGTGTGAGTGAGTGAGTGAGTGAGTGTGAGTGAGTGAGTGAGTGAGTGAGTGAGTGAGTGAGTGAGTGAGTGAGTTGAGTGAGTGAGTGAGTGAGTGAGTGAGTGAGTGAGTGAGTGAGTGAGTGAGTGAGTGAGTGAGTGAGTGAGTGAGTGAGTGAGTGAGTGAGTGAGTGAGTGAGTGAGTGAGTGAGTGAGTGAGTGAGTGAGTGAGTGAGTGAGTGAGTGAGTGAGTGAGTGAGTGAGTGAGTGAGTGAGTGAGTGAGTGAGTGAGGGCGGATGTGAACGGGCAAGTGAAGTAATTGGTAACCAAATGAAGAATGATAGGGTGGAAGGGAGGCTAAAAGTTAGAATCCCACACAATAATGTGAATCAAACCGTCCCCAATTCCATTCCCTATCCTGTCTGCACTGCATGCCCTATCCTCCAACGGTGCGCCCGGTATGACTTGGCGGAAGTCACTCCCAGAGTGCTCACCTGGCCACGCAGAAAAGAGCCACACTGCGAGCAAGGTCCTGATGTCAGAAAGCACAACTGCCACTGCAACAGCCCGCCTTGCACGTCCTCCTCCTAGCAGTTGCATGCCAACATGCACTGATAGCTTTGCAGCTGAAAACTGTCGCGGCTCTGCCCCATCCTGAATCGCTGCGTCAGATGCAGTTGAACTTGTTCTAGAAGCTTCCGAATGTCGGCGATGTTCCGGTGGCATCGTGCTTTCCAGGTCGTCATGGGCATCCTGTCGCTTTTCAGCAAGCGTCAAACGTGGATGCCTGCCAACGGCGAATATGGCTTCCTGAAATGTGCCTTGACAAAGGGTTTCCCGAATCCCGGCCTCAACCCATTCCGCTTTGACGGAGTCTCGCATTCTTGGCCGCACGCACAGCACCAGGGACGAGATCGTGCCTGGCCACCCAGGCGGCTTCCAAGCTACTAGCAAAACGACGAGGACCCTCTCTGCAGCACGGGGTCCGCTGGATTTCAAGCGAATAAATGGGACAGTGCGATGCCAAAGGCAGTTCTTGTCTCCCCACATGAGCTCATGAGCTCTTCATTGTCGCTGGTTGCCTTGAGAAGTCCCTTCCTTGTCCTGCTTCTTCTTGCCTCCTCATTGTCTCCTTTTACGTCTTTCTTTCATAGGTCTGGGGCCCTTGCGCTCTCGTGGGTGCTGGCACTGTGAACCTTTTCAAGCACCACTTGCTGCTTGAGGTTGAGGTCAAATTTCTTCTCTCGTCTCTCTCTCTCTCTCTCTCTCTCGCTCTCTCTTGTGCCATCAGAATCCGTCCCACTGGCGTGGGGGCACCCTGGGCGGACAGCAGTGAGACTCAAGGGAACGGCATTCCCATCACCGTTTGCCCCTTTGCTGTTGCACGTACTATCTTACTGCTTAGGATTTCAACCTCGGCTCCCCCCAACTCGCCGGAAGTGCCAAGGCTCAGGGCCATAAGCAGGGGCATCAACAGCAGGTCCTCTCGGGCGTGTGGCACACGCCCTGACTTTTTCAGGTGGATGCATCACCCAGCCAACAATGTGGCATGACGAGTGCGTGCGTGCGTGCGTGCGTGCGTGCGTGCGTGCGTGCGTGCGTGCGTGCGTGCGTGCGTGCG